TCTCGCCATAGACGATCCGGCGGTTTCGGATCCTGGACTGGAGGCTCCACGTCGAATAAGCCTGGTTCTGGCAACAATGGAGGTTCTTGGAACAACGGCGGTTCTACTTCTAACAAGCCTGGATCTGGCAACAATGGAGGCTTCTGGAACAACGGCGGTTCTACCTCTAACAAACCAGGATCTGGCAACAATGGAGGTTCCTGGAACAACGGCGGTTCTACTTCTAACAAGCCTGGATCTGGCAACAATGGAGGTTCTTGGAACAACGGCGGTTCTACTTCTAACAAGCCTGGATCTGGCAACAATGGAGGTTCTTGGAACAACGGCGGTTCTACTTCCAACAAACCCGGTTCCTATCGCCCTGGGAGATCGGTTCCACAGAGAACAACCAGAGAAGCTGAAAAACTGAGATCCAAATTATGTCCACTTTGCGCTCTGGGCAATCTTGGGTCTGGAAGCGGTTCAGTTAGCGGTTCCTGGAGTGGTTCAGCATCGGGAAGCGCCTCAGGATCTGGGTCTGGTTCAGTTAGTGGTTCATGGAGTGGCTCTGGTTCTGGCAGTGGGCCAGGATCAGGATCTGGTTCTGCCAGTGGGTCGTGGAGTGGTTCTGGTTCAGGAGGATCGGGCAGCGGTTCAGGTTCAATCAGTGGTTCCTGGGGAGGCAATGGTGGAGGATCCGTTAGTGGTTCGGGATCAGGTTCAATATCCGGAGGTGGCTCAGGCAGCGGTTCAGGATCTGGTTCCATTTCCGGAGGCGGTTCAGGGTCTGGTTCAGGAAGTGGTTCATGGGGAGGCTCTGGTAGTGGTTCAGGATCAGGTTCCATTTCTGGAGGCGGTTCAGGAAGTGGTTCAGGGTCTGGTTCAGGAAGTGGTTCATGGGGCGGTTCCGGTAGTGGTTCAGGATCTGGTTCCATTTCTGGAGGCGGTTCAGGATCTGGTTCCATATCTGGAGGCGGTTCAGGAAGTGGTTCATGGGGCGGTTCCGGTAGTGGTTCAGGATCAGGTTCCATTTCCGGAGGCGGTTCAGGATCTGGTTCATGGGGAGGCTCTGGTAGTGGTTCAGGATCTGGTTCCATTTCTGGAGGCGGTTCAGGATCTGGTTCCATATCTGGAGGCGGTTCAGGAAGTGGTTCATGGGGCGGTTCCGGTAGTGGTTCAGGATCAGGTTCCATTTCCGGAGGCGGTTCAGGATCTGGTTCAGGAAGTGGTTCATGGGGAGGCTCTGGTAGTGGTTCAGGATCTGGTTCCATTTCTGGAGGCGGTTCAGGATCTGGTTCCATTTCCGGAGGCGGTTCAGGATCTGGTTCAGGAAGTGGTTCATGGGGAGGCTCTGGTAGTGGTTCAGGATCTGGTTCCATTTCTGGAGGCGGTTCAGGATCTGGTTCAGGGTCTGGTTCATGGGGCGGTTCCGGTAGTGGTTCAGGATCAGGTTCCATTTCCGGAGGCGGTTCAGGATCTGGTTCAGGAAGTGGTTCATGGGGAGGCTCTGGTAGTGGTTCAGGATCTGGTTCCATTTCTGGAGGCGGTTCAGGATCTGGTTCCATTTCTGGAGGCGGTTCAGGATCTGGTTCAGGAAGTGGTTCATGGGGAGGCTCTGGTAGTGGTTCAGGATCAGGTTCAGGATCTGGTTCAGGGTCTGGTTCATGGGGCGGTTCCGGTAGTGGTTCAGGATCTGGTTCCATTTCCGGAGGCGGTTCAGGATCTGGTTCAGGAAGTGGTTCATGGGGAGGCTCTGGTAGTGGTTCAGGATCTGGTTCCATTTCTGGAGGCGGTTCAGGATCTGGTTCCATTTCTGGAGGCGGTTCAGGATCTGGTTCAGGAAGTGGTTCATGGGGCGGTTCCGGTAGTGGTTCAGGATCTGGTTCCATTTCTGGAGGCGGTTCAGGATCTGGTTCCATTTCCGGAGGCGGTTCGGGAAGTGGTTCATGGGGAGGCTCTGGTAGTGGTTCAGGATCTGGCTCCATTTCCGGGGGCGGTTCAGGAAGTGGTTCATGGGGAGGTTCTGGTAGTGGTTCAGGATCTGGTTCCATTTCTGGTGGTGGTTCATGGGGAGGCTCTGGTAGCGGATCAGGTTCAGTATCCGGAGGCGGTTCAGGAAGCGGTTCATGGGGTGGTTCTGGCAGTGGTTCAGGAAACTGCCCTGGCTCGTGCGGTTCCGGCCATCAGGTGGGCGGGAGCGGCGGAGGAGTCGCAGGGGCCGGCGGCGGTTCGTACTCCAACAAGCCAGGCGTCGGCGGTTCGGGGCACCAGGTAGGCGGCAGCGGCGGAGGCTTCGGGGGCGCCAGCGGGACCTCGTGGAGCACAGCCGGCGCCTTTGGGTCCAACGGCGCCAAGGGGGTCGGAGTCAAGGTGGATGTCAGGAGCAGCTAGGACGGTGACCTGAGCTGACCTGACCTGGGTGCGGTGGAAGACGGGCGCGGCATTCCGTCAGAGGATTTCTATGTTCTATGTCATCAAATGTAATTTTGTCTCTCATTATTGTTATATATATATACATACA